CCTGAGTACAGTCTGTATAAGTTTGTTACCAAACAATGTAAACATAGTTTTACACTGATACGTACCTGAGTACAGTCGGTATAAGTTTGTTACCAAAACAATGTAAACATAGTTTTACACTGATACATACGTGAGTACAGTCGGTATAAGTTTGTTACCAAAACAATGTAAACATAGTTTTACACTGATACATACCTGAGTACAGTCGGTATAAGTTTGTTGCCAAACAATGTAAACATAGTTTTACACTGATACATACCTGAATACAGTCGGTATAAGTTTGTTGCCAAATAATGTAAACATAGTTTTACAGTGATACATACCTGAGTACAGTCGGTATAAGTTTGTTACCAAAACAATGTAAACATAGTTTTACACTGATACATACCTGAGTACAGTCGGTATAAGCTCAGCAGCATAAATGTAAATCACGTTGAACGCTAAAGAGATTCCCATTTTACCTATCAACGCAAACATTGTTTTAAATGATGACGAGTAGTCTGCAACAAATAGAGGTACAAGAGTTACTAAGCAATGCTGTAAAATACTTTCACAAGAAAACTGTAATCAGATCATATCAACCCATTGCAAACTGCCGAAATTATGCAAATATGTAGATGTTATTAAATATGTAAAATGTGAATTGATGTTATCAGCTTTAATTAATTTCATCCAATTCAATATTTTGCTCGAAACACATGGTGTTGATAAAAAAAATATTTCATCCAGTGTGAGAAAAAGCAAACATATCTCACCCAATGAGTCTGGGATAACCAGCAGCAGTAAACATGCTGAACCACCAAGAATCATTGACCAGAACAATGTTTTCCGCCTGCCAGACCTACAATATGGTCAATGTCAAGTACAAGTTATATAAAGGTTGGTAGGTGTGATTAACATCTCACTAAAGCCATTTACTTTGGGTTTGAATTTAAAACTAGTGGTGACATTAAGCCATTAATTTGATTACATTGAACGCCTGAAGTGGTGACACTGAATGAACAATGGAGTAGATGACATTGAATCCATAAAAGTAATGACATTGAACCAATAAAGTGATGACATTGAACCAATAAAGTGATGACATTGAACCAATAAAGTCGTGACATTGGACCCATAAAATTAGACATTGAACCCATAAAGTGATGACATTGAACCTATAAAGTGATGACATTGGACCCATAAAGTGATGACATTGAACCCATAAAATGATGACATTGAACCCATAAAGTGATTACATTGAACCCATCAAGTGATTACATTGAACCCATCAAGTGATGACATTGAACCCATAAAGTGATGACACAGATTTCAAAAAGTGGTGATATTTATAACTTCTTACCTATCAATGAATAACATGCATACAAAATATGCTGGCAACTCAACGATTCCAGACAACATAAAATTTAGATATCTATTACCTCCAAGCTGACTGGCATTCATAGTTAAACCATAGTATACCATACTACATGTAAACCTGAATAAGACAACACATAGCAATCATAGTATAAGTGTAAACTCTACATACAGTGCACTTTTCACAGTTATTATATTCCATGTTTGACAATTATATGTGATTTGAATCCTATCATAATGACATTAATAAAGTATCTAGGCATTAACTTGATATGATATGTACTACATCATTTGTCATGCACACAAATACAAATATGTGTAATTGTTCATGACATCACCGACACTACATATCAGTCACACATAATCGTGTACCAGTCACTAAAATCAATCTACTCAGTTGACCCCAGAATTGACACTGAAAATAACAAATGAATTGAGATTTGAGTTGACTGCCAAGTTCAAACACAAATTGACAACTGAGCTGACAACTGGACCAATAGTGAAGATACAATAGCCAGATATGGCTGAAACCAGGTTTTAACAAACAAAACCTCAACTACCGGTACTATCCTCTCAAAGTAAAGAGTGAATCAATCCAGGTTCCTGTTGTACCAGGGTATGGATTCATTTATTGATTCAATCCAAGATAAAGCAGAAATACAAATACCTGTACTATTACTTATCTACAGTGTCTGCTACTAGTTATGGTTAGTTAGTGGTTGATATTGGTAGTTACCATGTATATATCATAATCAGCATTCTTTTCCTGATTTCAGAAGATTTAAATAAATCAAGAAATCCGTAAATCTTGGCAGGTGGTTGGTTAGGTTTCTTGTTATGATCTTCTACATGAACCAATCCTAGTTTAGTTTTTGCTCCATTTTTAATAGCTATATAGTGCAAGATATCTTCAGCTTCTTGAGTTCGTCCTTTTGTTATCAACCACCGTGGTGATTCTGGTACAATCCTAGAATTTATAATAAAATAACATAAACCCTGTTTGAAAAATGAAATGGACCCTGTTTGAAAAATGACATAATCCCTGTTTGAAAAATTCTATACCGGTAGTCCCTTTTGAAAAATTACATAGTCCTGTTTGAAGAATTACACAGACCCTGTTTGAAGAATTACATAGACCCTGTTTGAAGAATAACATAGACCCTGTTTGAAAAATGACATAGTCCCTGTTTGAAGAATTACATAGTCCTTGTTTGAAAAATGACATAGACCCTGTTTGAAGAATTACATAGTCCCTGTTTGAAGAATTAAATAGACCCTGTTTGAAGAATAACATAGACCCTGATTGAAAAATGACATAGTCCCTGTTTGAAGAATTACATAGACCCTGTTTGAAGAATTACATAGACCCTGTTTCAAAAATGACATAGTCCCTGTTTGAAGAATTACATAGACCCTGTCTGAAGAATTACATAGTCCCTGTTTGAAGAATTACATAGTCCCTGTTTGAAGAATTACATAGACCCTGTTTGAAGAATTACATAGACCCTGTTTCAAAAATGACATAGTCCCTGTTTGAAGAATTACATAGACCCTGTTTGAAAAATGACATAGACCCTGTCTGAAGAATTACATAGACCCTGTCTGAAGAATTACATAGACCCTGTCTGAAGAATTACATAGACCCTGTCTGAAGAATTACATAGACCCTGTTTGAAAAATGTCATAGTCCCAGTTTGAAGAATTACATAGACCCTGTCTGAAGAATTACATAGACCCTGTCTGAAGAATTACATAGACCCTGTCTGAAGAATTACATAGACCATGTCTGAAGAATTACATAGACCCTGTTTGAAGAATAATTTGCTGAGAATCTACACTGTATTTCACTCACTATACTCATTACCTAATCAGATTTATACAATCATTATGTTGTTGTTTCAGAAATATTTTAACCCATAAAGTGATGACATTTAACCCATAAAGTGATGACATTTAACCCATAAAGTGATGACATTTAACCCATAAAGTGATGACATTTAACCCATCAAGTGATGACAAGTTCATTGTTCAGGTTTTGTTTGTTTCGGCCATTGATAATGGAAATTCTTCCATTTTACTAATACTAATGAATATCTGATACACATTGTATTAGCTAATATGCATAAGAAAAATGAGCAAACATTTCAGACAAATTGGATGAGGTAATGCTATATAATAGTTATTTTCTAAATAAAGTCAGAAAATGATAATTTACATATTTTAATCATTACATATCGTGTGTTCAATAGAATCAGTTGATTAATAGTCTAATGTGGTGTATGTGTACACTTAAATGTGACTATTTAATAACTTTGTAAGCGAATGCATATTAAATAAAATGGTAAAATGGTAATATGGTATTTTGGGGTGTGTCGCATACGACTTGTTTACCACTTCCGTGTCGCTGAGAATGTTCTAGAACCGTACTGTGTCTGGGTGGAATTTTTAGAAACAGGTTGAATAGGTAATGGAACATTCTAGAAATTTGTAGTAAGTTCCAGACTCATTATGTATGCTGATGTAATGGTCTATTTATAGACAGTGTGGGTATATATAGGGAGTTGTTCAGCACTGAGTTCAGATCGGAGATCTCGTTGAATTGTGTTGGAGTTTAAGTATCTAGTTATTGGAGTTTTGGAGTTTTACCGAGTCATTGTACTTGATGTTTGCAGAGTATAATAATACCAGTACCAGTTGAAACCTCATCTGTTGACTCCATGTTCGTATGTTATCATCGCCGCCAGGGAAGTCTTTATGTTACTGTTGCCATTTTGGTATTTGAACCATCACACCTGTACTATACCAATTACGGTAATATTACGTTGCGTGTGACATCTGGGAGCTCGTCCGGGAACAGTGAAGACATATAGAAGACAAAATGGGCAGCGGGATAATAGATATGTCGAAACAAGAGTTGATGGAGTGGGCGGATGAACTGGGAATGACTGGAGAAGACAAAAGGAAATTTATTTTGGAGCAACTGAGTTCTCAGCGAGCTGAGAGACAAGCGGCGAGGGAAGAGAGAAAGGCAAAAATGGAAATAGAAGCAGAGGTGAGGAAAATGGAGATTGAAGAAAGAAAGGAAAAGTTACGACTGGAAGCGGAAAGGGAGATTGAGGAAAGAAAGGAAAAGTTACGGCTGGAAGCAGAAGCAGGCAAAAGAGAGAAATTGCGAATGGAAGCAGAACAGCGAGAAAAGGAAAGAGAATTTGAGTTGAGGAAATTAGAGCTGCAAGCAGCAATGCCGGGGCTCCAACAGGCTGATTTTGGCGGTCAACGAAATGTGGTCAGTGATGCACAGCTCACCAAAGTTGCCTGCATTTGTTGATGGTAAGGACGAACTTGATAGTTATTTATTGCGGTTTGAGAGGTTTGCAACGAATGTGAGTTGGCATAGATGGATGGGCCACAAATTGAGTGCGCTGTTGACTGGTAGAGCACTGGAAGTATATTCTAGGAATGTCCGACACTGATGCAGTTGACTATGATCGTGTGAAGGTGGCGCTGTTGACAAGATACGATTTCACAGAGGATGGGTACAGGAAGGGAT